TCCAAGTCCCCACTCCCAACACTCAGTGCAACACTCAGTTGGCACCTGGCAAACCTGTGTGCACTTATAGGGCACTCTACCCCTCTCCTCACACTTTTATTTTCAAACCCTCTCATCTACTCCTCAAGACATAATTTTTGCCCTGCAGAAGGATTATTTCTGCCCTGAGAAAGGCGTTTCAATGCCTGTTATTGAGCACTCCTTGTCCGTTGTCCCTCCCCTTCTCTGAACGTGATTATACATACTGACTTCACATTCAGGGATCCTTTGAACTTTGAAAGTGGCAATCCGAAGGTCCTATCATCCTGGAGAGTCGCACCACAACTGGGGATCCCTCTGATGTGGTGGGAGCACTCCTGCAGAGCAGGCACCTCAATTTGTCCCTTTATTGATGTTTTGCCCCTTCTCTCTCAGTGAGATACCCTGAAGAGACTTTGGGCACCAGAAATACTCGGTCTTTGGCATGCTCTCTTTTGTGTGAGGATTGCACTCAGTCATTGGAGGTCCTAGTATGTAGACCAGACGTTGTTGAGCCCCTTCCCCCTCAATGAGATGCCCCAACAAGATTTAGGTTGGTGGAAAATCCTCCCCCATATCATTCCTGGACTATATTCTTTGTAATTAGTATGATCCCAGCTCTTTTCTGTTCCACCCCACCACCCTATACAGTTCCTTCTCTTTCTTCCCTCCTGAACCAGCTGTAGTTTCTCCCTTCCACCTTATAGGACTCATTTGTCTGTCACTACTCAAAAAGTGGCTCAGAATTTGTTGCTATGGAGACCTTCTCCACGTTTGAAACTCTTAATAGGCCCAATGAATCCTATCTTGATTCTAATACACTTCCTAAGGAATTAAACGCTTCTCCTTGCTTTCTTTCCTCTGGAAATCTCCCAGATTTGCCATTCTTTTGTCATTCTCCAGGTTATCAAAAATTAAAACAAGCTTCCCCAGTTTGGGAGAGCTCCTTAAATTGGTTCTATCACCTTAGGACTCTGGGGGCCCAAGCAAAAGAAAAAAAATTATACATTTATGCAACATGGCTGTATATTCCATCTGAAAGTCCTTTGGAAAAAAACTGTGGTCGCAGACTTGGCAGGAAGGAGCAGGGAACTGCTGCCACCATGGCAGGAGCCACCGTGCCTCCTCCAGCAGCCCAACTTAAACAGCTGCCATCTTCACCATGATATCACTAGGAAGGCAGGCATGAGATCCATAGCATCTTGCTACCCCTTACAGAAAATTATAATTAATCTGCAGCTAAAATTTCTGAGAGTACTCAATTAATATACTCGCTTATATGTGTTATTTTTGCAAATATGTAAAAGCTTCTGTCTCCTGTAAAAAAATCAGTAATGTTATCTCACTCAGATCTAAGAAAATGCAGGCATTCAGGAATTAGTTCTCAGACTTGCAACTAAACAACAAAAAAGATGGCCATTTTAAGACTCAAGTGGTTGTTCTGGCTGCCTAATTGGGGGCTTATAAATGGAATCTTAAGGTTTGGTTGTTTATTTTATTTTAAAAAAATAGAAATGGTTCATAAGCATAGTTACTTAACCCCTAAACCCATGCCTGTCTACCTTCCAAATGAATAAAAACTGGTCTATCATCCGTTATTTCTATAACTTCAGCAAAATCCAGGTACACCTCATGTATGGACATTCACAACCTCTTAGAAACAAGAGAGGTATCCAACTCATGCCTTAGCTAACAGGAGTCAAAATTACACTAGGCATAGAGACAGAAGAGGGAGGAATTATTTCTTCCTCCTTAATCTACAAAATCCTGTCACTTGAGATACCCCAGTTTCAGATACTCCAGCCCAAACCCTCACTGATATATAAAAACAAATTGACTCTTGAGCCAATTTTGAGTCTTACAAAATAAGTGGGCTTTAGGTATGTTCACTGCTACTCAGAAAGAAACCTGAATTATGCTTGGGAAAGGCTGCTGCTTTTGGGTTAACAGATCGGGACAAGTTCAAACTAACATTCATTACAAGCACACCAAGTCTCTCAACTTAGAGAATAAGTCACCCGAACATGCTCTCATGAGAAAATACCTGGTCATGGTTATCCTGGATTTGCCCTTTCTTAGACCTCTATGAATACGCGAACTAGATTTGTTTCTTCTCACCTCCAGATGCTACAACATGGGTTCCATCTCTACCACCTGACCCTCCAGTGTCTCTTAGCTCCCTTGACCAGGTTTCCATACAAATTTATTCTGGCATTCGATTAGACCCATGTTTTCACAGACTGCCCCATAATCCTCTGACAGAACAGCAAATACATAGTCAGGGACATCTCTGACCCTATGTGGCTTGAAGTAGTTCCAAGAAAATGAGACCTTTACCCCACTAAAACCAGAATTGGTTTTGTTGTTTTGTCAGAGGGAAGTATACAGGAAGGTTCCCCTCCTCACTGAGATATGATGGGAACAAAATACCAAGAGACAGGTAGAATGAGGAAGGAGGGGCCAAAGTCAGGAGAGATCCCACACACAAAATTCAACACATGGCCAGGCACAGTGGCTCACATCTGCAATCTTAACTACTTGGAGGCAGAGATCAGGAGGACTGAGGTTCGAGGCCAGCCTCAGGCAACAAAAGCAAGACCCTATCTCAAAAAATACACAATTCAAAAATAAGACTATAGAATGGCTCAAGTGGTAGTGCACCTACCTAGCAAGTGTGAGGCCCTGAGTTCAAACCCCAGCATTACAAAAAAAAAAGTTTAAAACATGATTCAAAGAAGAGACAACCAATCAGTAAGATCCACAAAAAGAAAGACAGCCAGTCAAAAGTGGCCTAACCCAAGGTATAACACCTACTCTCAATCCTGTCTCAGCACACTATGCTCCTTTGCATAGCTACCCACCATTCTATTCTTTTTCAATAGCATCCTAATAAATCTTTGCTCCATCCTACTTTCTGTCTCAGTAAATTCTTTTACCAACCCGGAGCTGCCAAAATCCATGTTACAAATCAGGTCACAAAAGATATTAGCTGTCTCAAACAGTAACTTCTGTTACTGTTTCTGTCTCTTTGATCTCTCATTCTGAAGCTAACTATCCTGTCATAAAAACATTCAAGCCACATATGGAAAGCAAACATAGTGAGGAACTGAGGTCTCTGGTCAACAGCCACAGAATAATTAAAGCCTACCAACTATGTAAGTGAGCTCAGAAGCAAAGCCTCCAGCTCCAGTCAAGTCCCAACATGACTACAGCCCATGCCCATGGCTTTTACCTACAACTTCATGGAAGACCCTCTAGAACTATCCAACAAACTGCTCCCAGGTTCTTAACCCTTCAAAACTGTGTAAAGTAATAAGTATTTGTTTTAAGCTGCTATATACTGGGAATCTGTTACCAGTACAATTGATAACAAACACATCTAAAATACAGATAAATATATTTATCCGTAAACGTCACATCCCTTTTAGCCACAGTCCCACCTCCCTGCTTCTCTTTAGTCACTTTTTTCACTTTTCCTTGCTTTGTTGTCATTTGAATTCTCTCAGATCAAGATGGCCAATAGCCCTCACATTTCTACTAGGTTTAATGGTAATTTCTCATTATGATGTACTTTTATTATGCCTGAAGAAAACATGATACAGAAAAACAAATTGAGAAGGGTGAAAACTATATCCGCTATGTATAGTAAAAAAGGCACCAAAATGTGTGCATTAATCATAGATAAAAAGAGACAAAAACACCAAAAAGTACCCAACATTCTTGAGGGACCTCATTACTAAAAACATACAAAAGGTCCTAGAAATATTCTAAGCATGTTCCCACTTTCTACTCCCGCTGCCTGCAGTGCTCCTGCCCCAAATACTTACATGACTTTTTCCTTTACTTCCTTCAGGTTACTGCTAAACTATTACCTTATCATTATTAGAAATGCAAACTTCTATCAATCAACCCAATCACTCCCATCCATAGCATTTCCTATACTTAATTTTCCTACTTAATTTTTTTCCATAATCCAGATTACTACCTGATACTTACTCTGTAAGTCAGCAATTTATACATTCTTTTTATTCCATGTACCAAAAATTAATAGAGTTCCAAGCACACAGAAGATACTAAAAAACATTACTGAGAAAATAAGTTACTGAATAATAGTCATGGGACATATTACCACAGTGAGCCTCAGCTCTATGGCTCCACATAATGACAAGAGGAACTAAAAGGCCACAGAAATACTGCTTTGTGGTAGCCATGGCCCTGACAGGAAACAATTAACTGTTAAGAAAAAAACAATTTTACCACAGAGAAACCAGAGCACACTCTCTCAAACAAGTAATCAAAATAACATCACCAGTCACTACATAAATAAATATTATATGCTTCTTAATATGATGTACTTAGAACACAACATAATATCCATAATATTCCTGTCAACAGCATGTAACCTGAATCTAATAATGGAAAAACACATATAAATGGTCTTATATCCTTTAAAATGTCAATGGCATTAAACACAGAGACTCAGAAACTGTTCCAGATTAAAGGTGACCAAACAAAGATGAAAACTGAATTCAATTCATACAGTTGGCTTTTATTTTGCCAGAAATGGCAACGTTGGGACAATTGACAAAATATGAATACAGCCTGTATATCAGATATTAGAATTACATCAGTGCAAGTTTTCAAATAATACTTTCTATTGGAATAACACTAGACTTTTTTTCCTACTTCTGAATTTCATTTAAAACCTAAAAGTAGCCAGACACCGTGATGTATTTCTGTAATCCTAGCTATCTGGGAGACTGAGGCAGGAAGATCATAAGTTACAGGCCCACCAAAGCAACATAATGAGACAACATCTATCATGCCTCAAGATTTGGTATGTATTATTATCAATTGAAATATCACATCATGAAACATTGTAGGAAAACCCTAAAATAGTATAAATGTAAAAGAACTGGTTTTATTCACTTAAATGCAGTGCCACTCAGCCATATCTAAAAACGAAAAATAAGCAGAATTACCTTCATGGACGGTAATACCACAATTGTCACACTGTATTATCTCATCAGCATCCTCACTATTATCCCCAAGACAAACACAGCAGATCAGAATGTGCTCCATTTTCTGAGAACTCCAGTTTTGACTCTTCTCAAGAATCAGCGAGTCCTAATATTAAAATAATAAAATATATTAGAAAAAAATTCAATTCAAAGGTAATTATAATAAAATTCTCATTTTAAACTATTTTAAAACACTATTTTTTTGTATTTCCAAATTTATGCTGCACTCTTCATTCTCTTACTAAGCCTACATAGGCAGGCTACATTTGAGAAGTACACCTCCCTGTCAAAAGACTCTAAAGCACCCTCTTTCACTTCTCCACAAGTTCCACAATTTTCTCTCCTCTATAAAATGAAAAACCAAGCATGCAAAAAGCTCTCATCTGCTTTGTCATTCTGCTTTGTCCCATACACTAGGAGAAAGGAGCAATTAATCCTATATTAATTATTAATCTTATATAAGGATTTTTAAAGTATAAGACACAGCTCCTACACTTTGGGAACTTTTAATTCTATATAGAAATGACAAGACACACATATGAAAGAGGAAGAAGTTCAGAAAACATGTAAGCACAAGGAGCCAGAGTTTAATGCCTGCAATCCTAGCAACTCAAAAGGCAAACATCAGGAAGATCAAGGTTCGAAGCCAGCCCGGGCAAACAGTTCACAAGACCCTATCCCAAAAGTACCCAACACAAAAAAGGGCTGGCAGAGTAGTTCAAGTGGTAGAGCGCCTGCCTAGCATGAGGCCTTGAGTTCAAACCACAGTACCATCAAAAAAAAAAAGGAAGAAAGAAAACATACAAGCAAGTATGTATGTGATGTCTGAATTACAGACTCAATGCTCCAGAAGTACTATAGATTCAGAAGTTTCAAGGTTAGCAAACTACAAGGGACAGATCAATAAGAGCCTGGGTCGGCCCTTTTATCTGCATATACGGGTACAAACAATCATCTAAAAAGGATCCAGATAGATTAGTTGCAAGAAGAGTCAGAGTATTCTATTAGGTTTATGTCAAGAAACATCTAGTGCAAACTGAAAACGACACCTAGCTAATTAAAATACAAAGGAGAAAGTTACATTAATAGACAAGTACAAAAAGATAAAACAAATCCACTTGTTTTGATTTAAACCTTCTGCACTATCAATTTAAACTTTTAGAAGAAAATAATTAAGGAACCAGGAGCAGTGGCTCCCTTCTATAATTCCAGTTACTCAGGAGGAGGCAGAGACTGAGAGGATCATGGTTCAAGACCAGTCTTGGCAAAAAGTTAGTGAGATCCTTCCTAAACTAATAACCCAGGCATAGTGGTACATGCCTGCAATCCCAGCTACTCAGAAAGCTGTAGGTAGGAGGACTGTTCAAAGCCAGCCCAGGGCAAATACACGAGACCCTATCTGAAAAATAACTAAAGCAAAAAGTGCTGAGGGTGTGCTTATGCAGTAGAGTGCCTGTCTAGCAAGTATGAGGCCCTGACTTCAGAAGGAAGGAAGGTAGGCAGGAAGGAAGAAAGATAAATTCAGGTTGGACATGGTGTACATGTAATAGCCTATAATCCTAGCTACTTGATAGCTGAGGTAGGAAGACTGTGGTCAGAGGCCAGACATGGCAACAGTCTAAGACCATATCTGAAAAACAGAAGTGGAAAAACAAGCAAAATGACTTGGGATGTGGCTCAAATAGATAGGAGCATGAGGCCCTGAGTTTAATTACCAGGGCCACAAAAATTTTTTTAAAAAAGGAGGGGGGAAGGAAGGAAGGAGGAAAAGGAAGGAGGGAGGGAGGGAAAATAATTCAACTGGCATAGTAGCTAGCTACTCATTAGGCTGAAAGGAGCAGGATCACTAGAGCCCAGGACCAGCCAGAGCAACACAGTAAGATCCTGTCAAGAAGGGGAGGGAAGGTGAGAGGAGGGGAGCAAAAGGAAGAAGAAGAGGAAGAAGAGAAGGAAGAACTGAAGGAAGGAAGGGAAGGAGGGAGGGAGGGAAGGAAAAGAAACTGACTCTTAGCATGTTTAATACACTGAGCTTAGCATTACATGTTACATAGCACTTTGGTTATGTATTCTCATTTACAAACCTAACCACATGCAAAAACAAAATGAATATAGTCACTAAATATATTTCATGTCATATTAATTTTTTATATTTTATACTCTATTTTAAACTTTATCAGTCTTCAGATTGGTAACATTTGTGACCATCGTTTCAAAAGGGATTTGTAAACACATCTGAAAACACTTGATAATAAATTCTCTCAAAATATTTTATATAGAACATCTAAAACCACAACTGATCTGTAAAACAAATTAGGAAACAATACAAACGTCACCAAGGAGGTAATGTTATTTTCATTGAGAATTCTAGTACGTAGCCATTTGTATTTTATTCCTCTTTGTTATAAAACTAAGCAAAATACTTTGAAGCAAACTACTGGCTAGCAAAGGCAAAAAAAACTCCTACAGGGCTGGAGACACAGCTCAAGCCATAGAATACTTGCCTAGCAAACATAAGGCTCTGAGTTCAAATCCCAGCACCACCAAAGAAAACATTCCTATAAGGAAAACTCATGTGTTTTTATAGTGCATTGGTACAATAAACAAAAATCTGTTCAGATTTTCATACCATTAGTCATACTTAAAGTCAAACATTCTTGGGTTTAATTCTCAGTTCTGACTTAATTAATAGCTGTTAAACCTTAAAGATGTAATTTTCCCATGTGAAACTGAGGATGATAAAAATAAGACTCACTTCATGAGGCTGTGGTGAGAATTAACAAAATCATATATGGCAAGAATGTTTCTGGCACATACTTGGTGCCAGAAAAATACTCATTCCCTTCCTCCTTTCTCTGCACTTGTAAATGGTCAGAAACAGAAACATGAACTGACAATTTACAACAGAAGTGGGGGGGAGGGGTCCTTAGAACAGCAAAATTTACAAGCCTCAATAAGGGCTGCGAATTTAAACATCATCCCCATGATAAGTCCAAAGCAGATGGGGTTTTTTGGTGTTTTGGTTTTGGTTTCTTTTTTTTTAAAGAATTATCATACTGCTAGGTGCCAGTGGCGCACACCTATAATCCTAGCTACTGAGGCAGAGATCAGGAGGATCACAGCTTGAAACCAGTCTGGGCAAATAGTTTGCAAGACCCTATCTCAAAAAAACCCTTCACAAAAAAGAGATGGTAGAGTGGTAGGCCTTGAGCTCAAACCCCAGTAGCACAAAAATTAATTAGTTAATTAATTTATAAAAAAGAATTATCACACCTGGGTTAAAAAATCATTGCCAAGAGCAGGTAGCTAGGGCCTGTCATCCTAGATACTTGGGAGGTTGAGATCAGGAGGATCGCTGTTTGAATCCAATAAGGACAAACGGTTTGTAAGACCAGCGTCTCCAAAATAACCAGAGCAAAATGGACTGGAGGTGTAATTCAAGCAGTAAAGCACCTGCTTTGCAAACATGAAATCCTGAATCCCAACCCAAGTTCCACAAAAAAAAAAAATCATAGACTAGAAAATGATCTAGTGAACAATGAGTTTAAAAATTAAGAGGCTCATGTTGATGAACTCTCAACATTTCTTTGGCAAAATTACAACAACTAAACCCTGGAAATATGATTTGCCCATGTGGGAAACAAGTAAATCTTATGGGTCAGAAAAAAATATCATGAGGAGTTCTAATTCCTTCATTTTCCAATTCTTATCAGAAAAACAATAAATATCTAAATATTCTATCTGCACCAATTTCTCTCTATACATATTGTCATTTAGGAGCAGAGAAAACAAAATTAACTAGAAGCTTTGGGCCCTCTGATAAGACTCTTTGTAGAAATGTAAAACAAAGAGGGAATGGAGACTCTATAGCCCTGTGATGTGCCTCTAAAACAAATGACTAGACTTTTAGGCAGTGTTTCAATGGAAAAATCTGAACGTTTTCTGGAAAAAATTATGATCTAAGTTTTCTTTATAGAGCACACATGGTTTAAGCACACTCATGATCAAATAAACATAAAACATAATTTATTATCAATTTTTGTTAGCCTATTTCTGAAGATGTGTATGCTCTCTCAAATGTCTACAGAAAATAGTTAAGATTTTAACACAAAAATTTTTAACTGTGGCTTTAATAAAAATAGAAATCAGAAAAGTGGGGGCTGGGTGGCAAAAGAGTACTACATAGAAAATAACTCCAATATTACAGAAGAATTTAATGGTTTCTAATGGTATTATTACATAAGGAGAATACAGCACTATAATAATAAATCAGTTACTTATTTTTTCCTTGGAATCTAAAAATTATCCCAAAAATCTAATATAACCTAGTATTCTCCATGGGCTGTAAAATATGTTTAGTGCTCATTTACCATGTATTCCACAAAGATTTTTTTTGGGGGGTGGGTGAGGTGCTGGGGTTTGAACTCGGCCTCACACTTGCTAGGCAGGCTCTCTACCACTTGAACTACTCCACCAGCCCCCACAGAGATGATTTTAATATATATACAATGGACTAAATCTTATCTAAGTTATATATTTGTGTCCAAAGGAAGGAAATTCCATTACATTTCAAGTAAAAATCAGAATTAAAAGATGACCAAAAAAATCAGTATACTGAAAATTGACTAATAATTATTTCTTGAAGTTTTTAAAGAAAATTAAATTCTTAAGAATCTCAAATAATATCTGAACAATGTTACAAATGGGGTTATTTTGGAACTTAGAGCAATTTGTTTTACTTTGAAATGTGTAAAAAAAAAATCAATTAATATCAGACATCCCAAACAGAAGCAGCTATTTATAAATATTGCCAAAATTTTTCACATATTAATTAATAAAATTCAGGAGATGTCACTTCAGAGTCTTTTATGACAAAAAATTCTATTAAGCAAAAACATAAGGTTAAAGTTATAAAATAGTAATACAAAATCTAAACTATCTCCAAGTAATCTCTGTGAGAGAAGAGCTTTTCTTCTTTTGCAAAACAAAACGAAATGAGCCATTTCCATTGACATGATTTTCTGTCATATATAAATTCTCTTCCAAACTCTAGGTTCAAAGTCTTAAAAATTAGAACCATTTTCTGAAATGATTATTGCCTCATCAAAAAACTGACCTCAGAAGATTAGCGAGCAAAAAAATATTAATGAGCCTCAAAAGCGTCAATATAAAAAGGACACAACCATATTATTAGAGGATTCTTTAGAGTACACCAAATTTAAAAAATGCCAAAGCCCATTGACAAAGGTGCCCATTTGCAGAAAATGTAAGTTATCGAATGCTCAATTCTAGAGCAGCAGTGTCCAAGGTGTGCTCCAAGAAATTCTCTTTCAGGAATTTAACAAGGTGACACCCATTTTCATAGAAATACTAAAATGTTACCTGCCTTTTTCACTCTTCTTCTCTCATGGGTATATGAAGTTGTCCAGAAACAACAAGAAGGGGAACAGTCTTATGTACATGACAATTCCTGTGCTTCTGTATTCTTGATTTTAAAATTTATAAGTTTTATTTTGAAATCTAAATATTAAGAGATTCAATCTACATAAATAATAATAGGGGCCCAAAATAGTTCTTAAGTGTATAAAGGGATCCTGAGACTAAAACATCTGAGAAAACTGTGCTGTAGTATTTCAGGGTTTGTGGCATAAGCAGATTAAAGCCATTAAAAGCAAAAGTTATAAACTTAAATTCCCCTAAGAAACTTCAAAATTATAAAACTTTCAGAGCATTATTTACCTACAAAAGATGGTCAATATCATTTCTCTACAAATCCACTTGCCATAACAGCCAAGAAAAAGTTTGCCTGTGTATAAACTAAAATGGTATTTCAATTTTGTATTTTTTTATGGTGGAACTGGAGTTTGAACTCAGGGCTTTGCACTGGCAAAGCAGGCACTCTATCACTTGAGCCTCATCTTCAGTCCATATTGCTGTTTAATTTGGAGATGGGGCTCAGGAACTATTTGCCTGGACTGGCTGCCAACTGTGATCCTCCTGATTTCAACTTCCCAAGTAGCTAAGATTACTGGCCTGAGCCTCTGGCACCTGGCACCTACTTTGTATTTCTAAAGCCACATGTTTAGCTGTCTCTAATAAAATAACAAGAAAGATGAAGACACAAACATTAGCCACTGAGCAACAAGGATTAACTTTAGACATCTTTCTTAAAATATCAAATTTACAAGAATAAAAATTTAGAAATACAAATAATTCAAATTGATGGGGTTTTTAATTAAAGATTAGTATCTAGCTTGAGACATGTTAAACTAGAATCATCGAAGAATCAGTATCTGAACAATACAGTTGTAGGGACAAACCCAATTATCAACCTTTTAAGTAGAATGCTATTCTAAGGGAAATTACTTTCTGTAAATTCTTCTCCTCCAAGAGTATTTTCCTAAGAAGTACTTTGGAATCTCATTCCCAAAATGTCTCTAGGACAATTAACATAAATACTCAAGGTCCTATTATTTACTTAAGTCCCTTCTACTGAGAAAAAAAAAAAAACTAAACAGCACATGTGCCTCCCAATGCATTATAAGAATTAATCTGAAACCTCTTATGTAGTGTTATGAACTACAGGCTATTAACAGGTAACACGCATGGGTTACATAATTATAAACATATGTAGGTGTCACCCACATCTTGGCATAAATCTAATCCACACTGCCTCTATCATTAGCTAGACTACTTTTATGAATATCAGCCTACTGACAATGAAGCCAGGACAGCTATTGTCAAAAACAAAATATTAACATTAGCTCTCCATATATCTGCTTCCCTAAGACAGCATTAATAATATACTACAGCTTATTCTGTAACATTAAAAAATACTACACTAGCCAGGCACTGGTGGCTCATGCCTTGTAATCCTAGTTACTTGAGAGGCCGAGATCAGGAGGACCAAGGTTCACAGCTAGTCTGGGCAAATGGCTTACAACACCCTATCTAGAAAATACTCCATACAAAAAGGGCTCAAATGCTAGAGTGCCTGCCTAGAAAGCATGAGGCCCTGAGCTCAAAACCTGTACTGCAAAAATAAATAAATAAATAAAAATACTACATTTATCCCGAATGAGTTTTCCTTTTCCTAAAAATCAGAATTAGAATAGTAGGACTGGTGGCTCAAGTGGTTGAGCTTAGCCCTGACTTCAAAACTGCAAAAAACCAAAAGAACTGCAAAAAGAAAAAAGAAAGAAAATTTCCAAAAACAAAGAAACAAAAAAAATGGGTAGCACTTGAAAGCAAGCAAAATTCTTCATAGAAAAATGGGCAACCTGGAAGTTAACCAATATTTATAATCCAAAACGTTAAGCTGCTGTTTCTTTTCCACTGACATACATCCCCTGACAGCTTGCTATTATTTTGGTAACAAGAATCACCTTATTCTACATGAAACCTAAATAAAATGGATATTCACTGCTATGTAAAATTTATAATAGGCAGAAAAATACAAAAGAGCAAATAAAGCATAAGAAGGGAAATCTACCAATTTGAGTTACTTCAATGATATGAAAAACAAAAAAATAAGTGGTAAAGAAGCAAATTTTGGTGACTATAAACATATTAACAGAAACAAGAGAATTACTATAGTTCTACATGTGATGTAACAGATGCATCTACATGTAAGACAACTCAATCCTTCTTTTGAAGAAAAACATACATAAAGACACAGACAAGTGAGACAAATGTGTTTGACTGAAGAGTCTTGAATGTTGCATCTCTGGACTCAATAGATAAACCTAACTTTCAGTAGAACTTCAAGTGGAAGAACTGAGTCATTACTGTAGTTTTATGATAGAAATGTTGGCTCTATGATGGAAATGTTTGTTTTTTCATTTCTTTGCAGAGAGAATTTGTTCACTAAAAATATGTAAACATAGTTCATATTTACTCCCAAAAAGTAAAAAATGAATTTCTAAAAGTCTTAGAAAATAATTAAGCTGTTTGTTACCCTTCTCTGAAGTATCCTAAAGCCATATATTTTTGTGTGGATATGGACAAACCTAAGTTGAAAGAAAGGTGACCTGTTTTCATAATCCACTCAGCACCATTTAGCAGTCCTATACACAATAGGGAGAGAGAATAAAGTCTATAGATACAAAAATACTTCTCTATTATTTCTCCTTGCAAACGGAGACTATGAGTTCCTTGAGAATGGTGACAAACAGTAGCTAAGAAAGGTTTGTTGACCAAATAAATAAATGTTACATTTTAGGGAGTTCATTCACTCCCACAGATAAATAGGATTTCAAGGAAGCCACTTAATAGAATGAGCAGAGTGATTTAGAGAATTCCCTTTCCCCAGACAGACAGATATCATAAAAATTGGGTTGATCTACCTCATTACTCTTGCTTTGAGATAGTGTCAGGCTATCATTGGTCAATTCCTCATCATCAGCACTGTTTCTGCTAAGGACTTTACTCTTCTTCTTCTTGCAACCCCCTTCACTAGCAGGGCTGCTATGGTCTTCATCATTGCCTTCATCATTCTCATCTTCATCACTCCCACTTCCCTCATCTTCATCATCTTCATTGTCTCCATCACTTCCCTCCTTCTGAGATGCTGATCTCCCTTTTCTCTTCACTACAGTAGGTCTCCAATCATTGTCATCTTCACTGTCATAATCGTCCATGTCATTCAGCTCTTCCATGGAAACAAAATCCAAAAGTGGTCGGTTTCGACGAAGATTCCATTTTTTTGGCTCACTGACTTGTTCCTCTGTAGTGGTTGTCGTAGTAGGGGCAGATGGGGATGTGTTAACAGCAGGAGGGCTTGTGGCTGATGTGGTAACAGTGGCAGAAATAGCCACATTATCAGACACTGTTGCTTTTTCTTTTTCCTTCTCTCTTTCCTTCTCTTTCTCTTTTTCTTTCTCTTTCTCTTTTTCCTTCTCTTTCTCCTTTTTTTTTCTAGGTCTTTCTCCATTTTCTTCTTCCTCTTTCTTTTCCATTTTAATTAACTGTTTGTCAGATGACAGTATTTCTTCCTCTGCAGAATTTTTAAGTTCTTCTTTTACTTTAACATCTTCATTCAGTTCTTCCTCCAAAATATTTTCTTCAGAATCACTACAGGAACCTTCACCACTGTCCTTGGAAGGATCTTCACTTCCATTACCACTCCCTTCAGAATCTGTTGAAAATATGAGAAAAAAAACCACACATATGTATATACATACACACATACACACACACACAACACTGACACAAATGAAACCATCAAAACTTGTGAATAACTTGCAAAACAATATGAACAAATCTAAGTCAAAGAATGGTAGACATTCCCAACCTGATTAAGTAATAAATCAATGAAGTTGATATAATGGTTTTAATTTAATATCGCACTAAGGAAGATGAATATATGAAGTGTGTGGTAAAATTTTCTTTAAAAACAGTAGTATTCTGTGTCATATAGCTCATGCTATACTTTGTATGCTAAAGGCAATTTTTTCCTAAAAGGAAATACGGTTTTTTTAAAAAGAATTGTGCACTTGATTTTAACATAATACAAAATTCTTCTTCCTGTTATAAACTGTATGGAATTATAGTAATGAAAGAATTACATCGAAAGCAAGATAAATCTGATCCCCAAAACCTTTGTTTCATTTATTTCACACTTTACCCAGTAACATGAACATAGATATTTATGACAGTCAACTTATATCACACCTCTAATTTACCAAATCAATTTTACACCAGGTATACAGGGGAAAAGAGACAACAGCAATGGCACAGAAGATGGAAAATCCAAGAGAAGTTATCAATGTTCCAGCTTATTAGGACACTGTTCATACCAATAAAAGAAGGGTCACCTAAACTTTTAAGAATTCTAGGCAATAACTACTATCAGCCCTAGAATGGCAGAAATTCATGAAGAAATGAATCCATCTTAGAAGTGAACAGTCACAATAGTTACTGATAAAGATAGACCATGGACATTAAAGAACTTATGCAGGCCTACTGCCTTTCTAGCAGATTTCTTCCACTAATGCCTACGGCAGCAGAGTCTACCTTAATCCAGCACTATACGGTAACCTTCTAATTCTCTTTGCACCCAATCAAATAAACAAAAATCTAAAACTTTTGGACAGAGAATAAATGGAAGTGGGGAAAGAAGATAGGAAGCAGGATTTTACACTAATAATAAAATCTAAGGAAAATGAACTGTTTATACCTATAACCAAGAAAATAGTAATGATAAAATAGTGAAAATAACATCAATGTTTTCACACCATTTTAATTTCTATGAAATGAATTTGCTTTAACCTCTATTATTAACTGGGCAGCAAACATAAAAAAGTTATCTGTAATTAATGTATCTAAACAATAAAACACGTCACAAATCTTATATTGATAATAAAAATACCCTGCAAGTTAAGTCACAGAAAAGATAAAAACTAACACTTAGCAAATTCTGACTAACCCTATGAAATCAACATCAATATTAAGATTATTATGAAGGTATCCAAAGCTTAGTCAAGAGTATTCTGAATTCTGCCCGGAAGCCGGGGAGGGGGTGGGGAACAAAGAATACACATGTAAGTAAATGTAAAAACAATTAAAAAAAAGAGTGTTTTGGACAAAACACCCTCATCCTAAACAATCTTGCATTATCATGCAGGTCGTCAACTCTCTACTTGAAATCTTTAGAGCCAGAGGTATTTCAAGGTTCAGAATTTGTCACATTTTAAAAGCAAGATGTATGCATGATATATTTGACTAATAACCTAGTGAGTTCTATGGTACTATTCTATTATAAAATACAGTATTTTTACACAGGGCAATGTATAAATATCTATAGAGCATAAGAAGTAAATACTATAAATAAATTTCTATTAGTTCTAGTTTTGCCATCAAATAGGTTTGTGCCAAATGTAGGAAATACTTTTGGATTCTGAGCTTTGAAGACTTCAAAAAATGTGGGCTCAACATCACTAATAAACAAATGACTTCAGTGCAAAGTTCTACAAATCATTAAAAAAATTATAAACCACTCACATACCCAACCTCCCAAAAAAATTACCTCTGATAAAAATAAGAATTTCTAGATATTTTAAAATAAAGAGCTATTAAATAATAAGCAGAGTTGACAGAACATTTCAAAGGCAGAGAAGGATCTCTTGTGCACACTGACTAAAGAGAACTGAAACACCCTACAAAAATGCCATAATTAGGACTGGCAGAGTGGATCAAGTGATAGAGCACCTGCCTAGCAAATCCAAAGCCCTGAATTCAAACCCTAGTACCACCACAAAAAAAAAAAAAAAAAAAGAGAATAAAAAATAAATACTATAATTAAAAGAGCTAGAAGATGGAGAAAAACTTTTCTTCTAGATCGAACTTACAGAAGCCTTTTTAACCAATAAAACTTAACACTAAATCTAATAAAAAAAAAAAAGTACATATGGGTACCTGATGAAAACTAAAACCAATCCAACTTTGTTATTACTTGGTAAATTTTACAAAGTGTCAGGAAACTTTGTGATTTTGTTTTGGTTGCCAATGACAATGACAATTAATTATTTTCAAATGTAAAGTTAAACTGATACTCTTTGACTTTGCTCTGTAATCTGCCTAAATAAAGAGGAATTTTTTAAGATTCAAAAGCTTTATTTTTTTCTTTTTTGTAGGACTGGGGCTTGAACTCAGAGCCTTCACCTTGAACCACTCCACCGGCACAATTTTTTGTGATAGGGTTTTTCAAGATACAGTCTCTCGAACTATTTGCCTGGGCTGGCTTGGAACTATGATCCTGCTGATCTCTGCCTCCTAAGTAGATAGGATTACAGGTGTGAGCAACTGGCACCTAGCAAGATTCAAATGCTTTAGATTAATGAATTATTAGAACAGTGTAAAATTTTTCCACAAGTCCAAATACTAGTAGATTGTCCAACCCTTTATTCATCATATATACATATTACTCAGACTCCATATGCATGGATCAGGAGAATATCGAATTTGATCAAACAGATCAAATTATCTTTGTTTAATCTCTGAAAAATAACTTTCACCTAATTAGTCATCAATTTTGTTTGGTACATATACACTAGAGGGATGGAGATAAAGAATATTTATCTATAAGCATACATAGGTAATAATGACAATGCAAAAAAACTAAGCCCTTGGTCATCTACATTGGCTGCAAAGAAAAAACACTGATATTACTATAAAGTCAAAAAGTGACTCTGTGCCACTTTTCAATGTATTATTTCTGCATACTATATAAAAAATAAAGGAATAATATAGCGGAGAAATTAGCCAGATATTTCAATTAAAGCTATCTTGGATATAAGGATAGAGTTAATCTCAAGCCCATAGTAAACTTTTTCACATTTAAAAAGGGTTTTTAAAACTGAAATTCTATTTCCCATTTGGTTAAATAAAAAGTCACCTTTCTCAGGGGCTGGCAGAGTGGCTCAAGAGGTAAGAATGCCTGTCTAGCAAGCATGAGGCCCTGAGTTCAAACACTCAGGTGCCACAAAAAAATAGTCACCTTTCTCAAACACACAGTATGTCAGAATTTCTCCAAGCAACAGTCATTTCAACTAATAAGCAGTTAAAAAGCTTTCTACAGTTACAGAATTAAAAACAAACTTTTAAGAATCCCTTTGCAATATTCAATCATGAATAAAAATTAATTGAATAACCATTAATACCATTATAACCAATACTTGTTATCCCATGATAAATAAGTAATAAAATCATTATGATTCAATATAGTTTTACACTAAGTTTGCAATATAATCTTTTCTACACAATTTCATCAAACTTAGATATTCTGTTCATTGATAGAGTACAACAGGGATTTAATACCATAAATATACACAACAGACAATATACAGTTTACTTGTTAATTCAGAGTTATCACTTGGAGTCATCTTTGACCAACTCTGTGTATCTCTTGAAAACACCAGTCAACACAATTCATCTACTGGCTTAAAGTAAAGGTGTATAATTTTTAGCTTTGTCAACAATCATTTGCCAATCTTAGAGGCAGGTCATTTTTTAACAATGCCATTTTTTTCCCCTATTTTATCATCTGAGAAGTACATGAATAAAATTATGTTTCTCACCAGGTGCCAGTGGCTCACAGCTATAATCCTAGCTATGGAGGAGGCAGGGATCAGGAGGATCACGGTTCAAAGCCAGTCCCAGGCAAACAGTTCATGAGACCCTATCTTGAAAAATACCCAACACAAAAAGGACTAGCAGAGTGGCTCAAATGGCTCATGCCTACGTAGCAAGCATGAGACCTTGAGTTCAAGCCCCAATACTGCCAAAAAAAATTTTATGCTTCTCTGCAAAGGTTTGATAATAATCTTTTAGTGTTTCCTATACTTAATCTTAAAGAAAGCCCAACAGACAAAAATAGAAGATTTCAAGATGAAAATAAGAAGAAACCAACATACAGAACAGAGTTAACAAAAATTAAGTCCAACCAATCTAACCATTTCAACACTAAGTTCTAAGGAATTCAGGAGTATTCTGGGGGTTGTTTTGAAAGAAGATTCGATCAGATGAATATTTACCTACTGTTTCTTCACATCTAGTTTACTTTCCCATTTATAAGTAAGATATGGATTTCACAGCTTCAACGTATTTAAAAATCAGTGATAACTTTACTGTCTTATTTCCTACAAGTCCAACTAAACATACTATCTTAGACAGAGAAGAGAAAGGATTCAAAGTGGAAACAGTTGTAATTTGAAGTAAGCCAGTATCTCAACTATGAGGAGCACCAAAACACCAGAAGGAATTGTAGAAGGTAAGATCAATTTCTCTTCACTATTAATTATTTTAAACAAAATTGCTTTCCACTTCTTCTTTACAAAATAAGAACTATAAAGATAAATTTGTGGCCTTACATCTTAAGTCATAAACTCACTAGAAGCTAAAGATAAAAACTATGAGTACAACAAACTAGGTACTACATGATAAGAACAGAAAAGTATATATTTTTGAGTGCTTTTAAGGGATATATACATATTAGCCTAGCAAAACTTTTCCTAGCACTTTTTACAAATCATACAGTATGCATAATTTTTCAAGATCAGGAATTTCTACTTAACATGATATAAATTATTTACAGAAATTACTTTATATATGTATCATTTTCTTATTTTATTCTTTGTAAAGAAAAGTAATACTTATGAATGACTATCTCGATCAACAAAAAGAAAAATTTATCTAAAAAAAAAAAATCAGGATTTATTGACACAAAAATATTTCTGGAAGACTTAAAGAAAATAAGTTTTGGAGTTTATCCCATAAAGTCATAATTTCTGAGACCTAATTTTTTCAGAGTACAACCTCATTAACAATCCAAAATACCATCTTGCCAAGAATATTCTTATCTGTCAGTCTTCACCAACAGAAGGAAGACATTTAAATTTGAATTCTTTTCTCTTTCTTTTCCTTCTTTGAAAGTAGCAAATATCAGTGAATCAACTAAATGGGAGATAAAGAGCTGAGATGCAAAGGTTAAAAAAGTTAAGATTAACAACAATTTTTGATTGCTAGGAGTGAACTCATTAGTAACCAAGATATCCAAATAGTTTTAGTTTAAAATTGCATCTATCTACACTTAGGATTTAAGCAGTGAAAAACTGTAAATTTTGGAGTCAACTCCAGTGAACCCACTACTGCCTGAGTAGCCTCATGCAAGTCTTTTAAACTCAGTATCCCAGTAACCTATGAGTATTTCCTTCACTGACTTATAAATGTTAAGTGAGATTATGCAAACAAAAAGTTCTCAGTAAACCACATGCAAATTTTACTTGCTGATGCTATTAAAGGTAATTAATAATAACATAACCTAATTTTTCCCTTCTTACCATCTTGGGGGGTGGGCAGGGTGGCACACACAAAGGAAAATCAGAGGAAAGGCATCACTAAACAGAGCAAACTCTCTGGAAGAATACTTAAAAACTGCTACAGAGGCCAGAAGTGTAGCTCGGTGTAGCTATAAGTGAGTCCAGTATGTGTACCTGAGGGCCTGGGGTTTGATCCCCAACACCTCAAAGAAAAAAGTTGTTAAAGGGATGAAACTGGAAAGGATTTTTCTCAATTCATTTAAATTTTCACCAAAAGGGATAGAATTACAAATCAATATAACTGCTCATGTATTTCACCAGTATCTTTCATATGAAATATTTCACATAATTTTGTATCTCAGATGCCTTCAATTAAAACTCTAGATATTAAGCAAATGAGTACACTGAAAAAAAGCTACAAAGGAAAACCATACTTTTCTATGTTTTCTAATCTTGTATTATGTGAATGTATGGCTTTGTAAGAATTGTTTAAATCACTAAACCTAATGATGAAACATGCCCAGAGATTTCTAAATGGCAGAATCCACAAGGTACAACACCAACTATAATTTAAAGTAGAATGAATTTTTCTTTTTTTTTTTTGCTGGAAACAGTGGCTTAACTATAATCTCAGCTACTCTGGAGGGGAAGATCAGCAGAATGGAGGAGGTTCGAGGCCAGCCAGGGCAAAAAAAAAGATCCCACTGAACAAAATAACCTGGAGGAGGCATAGGTAGGAGAATCAGGTTAAGGCCAGAGTGGGCATTAACAGGAGCCCTATCTAAAAAATAACTTGCAAATATAAAGGGCTGGAGGTGTGGCACAAGAGACAGAGTGCTTGTCTAGCAAGCATGAGACACTGAATTCAAATCCCAACACCACCAAAAAAAAAAATCTAAGTGTAATTTTTACTCTGGTCAACTTTATTCTAGTGTGAGAGCTAACAGACAAAAAGCACAGCTCCCTTCAGAGAGTGCCAAGTGAGATGAAAAGAGAAAAGCCTCATTCACAATACTCTTGGAATATTATTCCACTTTGGAGTATCTCTCAACTTTTTCCTCTTCTATTCCTTAATGAAGTAAGGATAGATATATTTTATGCACAATAGAAAAAATCCTTCCTTGCCTGCTAGTTATCTATGAGTAAGGATGAACAAAAACAGAACAACAGCATCTTAGGGAAATGTCGGAAATCTTATGAGAAAAGCAAATGAAGTTTATGTGCTTTCACTTTAAATCGACATTTATTTTAATCAAAACTGAGTCTTTCTGATTAAAGTCTAAAAAAACAAACAAAAATCAGCCCCACTCCAGACAGCTGGGCCAGGGGAAGAGAAAGGAAGCATTTACCTGAAGCATCTCCAACTTTAAAATCACTGTCATCTGAACTATCATAATCGAGAGCTTCTAGGAGAGAAGCTGCCAAGGGCTTCACCTGCCTCCTCTTGGAGCTGCGGTCCACTGTTAGGAAAGAAGATGACATGGTCATTGTCAATCACGGCCTGGCAGGACGGGGGACCTGGGTCAACCTGCGTCCTCTCTGCACAAGGCCAGGGTGGGGGACTGGGCGGGGACGGCCGATAAACCCAAGCTGACCCTCTGACGGGCATGCTTCCTCCATCCCTCGGGATCCCTCTGGGTGTATGGGATGAGTCCACCGACCACGCCTCCAGGGAACCGACGCCAGCGGGTTCCCGCGCACCACCCGCGCCCCCTGCCCCCTAGGCCCGGCCTCCAGAAGAGTTGGGCTCTGTCCCCAGAGGCCTGGAGTTCACTTACTAAGGAATCCGTGAGGTGGTCGTTTGAGGAGACCTAGGGAGGAGCTGCGGGAGCCCTGGCAGCCTGGAGCGCCGAGGTCGGGGTTGGGGCCGCCACGTCCGAAAGATGCTATTTAAAACCCGCGGCGCAGCCAACCTCACAGGGCGCCCCTGAGGGCCCTGTGGGCCCCGCTGTCACTCCAGCCCCCGCCCTCAGCCTCCGTCTGGCCCCGGCACCCCGCGCCTCCTCCCACGGCGCCCCGGCCAGAGGCGCCAACCGGCCCAGGCAGCCAGGCCACCCCAGCGGCCCTGGGGATTCACTTCGCCCAGTTAAAACTAGCAGGAAAAAATAAAAGGAAGAAAAACTTTATTAGCCTGCACCAGAAGCAACAAAAGACCCAAAACTTGTCAGTCCAAGCCCGACAGCCTGAGACAATAGAGAAAGCAACGACCCGGATGCGGCTCTGCCAAGAAGGAAGTGAAAACTCCAGGTTGAGTGCCGCCGTGAGAGCGACAAAGGCAGACGGCGCGTGCGCAGCCGCCCTCCCGCCCGAGAAGGAGCCGAAAAGAGCCGAGCATAGCCGAGTCTCGCCGAGCAGAGGCAGAGAGTCCACTCAGATCCGATGGAGGCTCCACCCACAGCCCCTGACTCTCCTCCCCCTCGGCTCCTAGCCCCGCCCTTCCGCTCAAATCTGAGGGAGGCTTTATCTCTTTCTGGTTGGAGGACAGAGGGCAGAGGGCGTGGGAAAGGGAGGGATAGGCTTGTGGTTGTTTCCAGAGGTGCTGGGATCAACGCAGAGCCTCATAAATGCTATAAGAAACTACTCAACCACTGCCACGCCCTACGATGGTTTTCAATTTTTTTTAAGGATTTACTTTAAAATAAACTTTCATCACAAGGTCAAAAGGACATTTGCTGCCAGGCACCCGTGGCTCATGCCTGTAATTCTAACTACTCCTAAGGCAGAGACCCGGAGGATCACGATTCAAGGCCAGCTCAGGCAAATAGTTGGGAGACCTTATCTCCAATGGAGTACCCTACATGGGTAAAGCACTTGCCTAGCAAGTATGAAGCCCTGAATCCAAACTGCAGTACCACCCCCCGCCTCCCATCCCCCCACCCCCCACCCGCAAAAAAACCAGGACATTTGCTACCTTAAGTCACCTTAACTCACACCAACAGCCAAACTCATCTGATGCTTCCATGTATTGCATCTCTTAAAATTTCTTGGAGCATGCAAAAAAATTATTTCGTGCAAAAGGGTAATGTAAGAATCATTTTAAAACTTGTTTAGTTAATGCTTTAACACTTCATAGAAAAAAAACTTAATAGAAAAAGTTATTCACTTAATTATATTACCCATTGTACTGTGCATACACATTTCCACATAAATAGAGCATACACAATACTTAGCTTTGCTAAAAGAAAAAGATAGAATACATGCAGGGGAAATTCTTTCTCAGGATGTGTGCTTACATCAAACTGAAATGGTGTCTTCTATCCAATTAGGGAATTTATTTTTTAAGAAGAATTTTGTGTGTGCGTGTGTGTGTGTCTTGAACACAGGGCCTATAACTTGAGCCACTCCACCAGCCCTTTTTTGTGGGGGGTTTTTTCGAGACAGGGTCTTGCCAACTATTTGCCCCACCGGCTCTGAACCACAATCCTCCTGATCTCTGCCTCCTGAGTAGCTAGGATTACAGACATAAGCCAACCGTGCCCCCAGCAAGAAGATTCAACTCCCCCCTCCCCTGCAGCACTGGGGTTTGAACTGAAGGCCTCGTGCTTGCTAGGCAGGCATTCTACCACTTAAGCCACTCCATCAACCCAAGAAAAAATTTTAAACCCATAAAAACAGGACAATATGTACAAACAGGTATAGAAGTCTTTCAACAGTTTCAAAAGGCACATTTACTCACATATAGGTTTAGTTTATACAACGTTATTAAAAATGTTAGGAACTGAAGTAATTTTAATAGCTTTTAAACTGTATATATCAAGGATAGAGAAACATTTCAATGAAGGTAATTCAATTCATTTATTCCTCATATATACTTGGAAGGGCAATGTTTGCAGCATGGGAAATACAGTGTTATAAAAGACTGTAAATGAAATTTGCAGAAATCAAACCATATCATGCAGTGGAAGAACCCACTTTTTAAAGAAACGTGTGAATTCTTTTTGAAATAGTAAACTGGAATTAAATTGTATAACATTGAGCTTGAAAAATATTTAGTAAATACTTATGCAGAGCCATTTATAAGATATACCTTCTACAAAATGTTCACTGTCTTTTCCCTACCAGAGCAGACATTACAGTTGAACATACAATCAGGCAAATTACTGTTTATGTAAATAGAGCTACCAGAGAAAATAAACACATGCTAAAAGGACAGGAAAGTACTGGAGAAGGCAGCCTAGAGGAAGTCATATTTACATAGGTATCTGAACTCTCTAGGGAAATGGGGAGAGGCAACAGAGGTGTTTCTAGCCAAAGAAAGAATATATGCAAATACTCAAGGCTAAGTAACCATGTTGAGGTTGAAAATCTGATTGGTACATAAAGATGTTCAAACAATAAAGAAGAAAAATAAAATTTCAATGTTGGGAATATGAGGTTTTATTATTTGGCATGATTTGGGTCTAAAGGCAGGAAGGACCTCATTACCAGTGGAAAATAAGATATTTTAGTCCAAGACATGCAGTGGTAAGACAATTACTTAAATTATCACATGAAATCATCTATAATAAGGTGCCTGATAACACAACCCTGAATAAAAAGTGTGGTAATGGAACATTAAAATGGAAATGAGAAATAAAAGAACTAGACAAAGCTGGGTTCTGACAGACTAAGAAATGAGAATGGTGAAGGAAAACACAGGGTTTAAAATTCTTGACTCGAAACTTCTTCCAAAAAAATCACAAAAACAGGATTCCTCAACTTTGGCACTGTAGATATTTTGAGCCTGATAATTCATTGTTGTGTAAGGATGGCCTGTGTTTTATAAGATATTCCAGCTTCTCTAACTACTAGCCAGTACTTGCCAAGAATGGCTCACCCTCACCCACTTTGTGATAACTAAAAATATATCTAGAAATTGCCTAACATCCTTCACAGAAAAAAAATCACAACTACACACCCATTCACACAACCACTGAGAGCCTCTGCTCTAAAAAAGAATCTCATCTCACAAAATCATGTGACCAAAAGAACCAACCATCAGACAGTGAAACTATACCCAAGTTAAGATGTTAGGCAAGTTTGGAAGAATTGAAGTTGTGTATTGGGAAGTAATGACAGCTTGATCATTGAGAGTGGGCTGCAACACCTCCAAAGTCTCCCTTTGTCAATACAATTGGAACTTTCTTTCTTGCCAAAGCTATCTGTCTTGCTAAAGACACTGTAATGATTGACCTCACCTGAGGTGATTACTTTGCAAAGCCACATGGATTCTTCTTATGTCCATCTTTATTGTATTTTCCCACAGCATCCTATAACTAATCTGATCCCCATATGCCTCAAGGAGTAAGGAAAAATTATGACCCAGAAAGAGAGAATGTTTTCATTTCTATTAGGAATAGTTTTTCTATATTTGGTGGCAGCATGATTTTAGTGCTATTGATGTTCCGAGAAGGTTTTTGTATGTGTGGAACGTGTGATTGGCTGCTGTGTAGACAAAAAGACTGCCAGATATTTGTCCACAGGTACTTGACTTCCATTCCCATCTTCTCGAGCAGTATTGAGGTCCTATTAGAATAAAAACTACATTTTTCAGGCTCTCCTAGAAATAGGATAATAACTGGGTTCAGTGGCCTACACCTATAATCCTAGCTACTCAGGAGGCTGAAGAAGGGTAATCACATTTCTGAGGCCAGCCCAGGCAATTTAGTGAGACCTGTCTCAAAATTTAAAATAAAAAAGGACAGGGATGTTGCTCAGTGGTACAGTGTTTACCTAGCATGCATAAGACCCTGGATTCACTCCCCAATACCATAAAAATAAATAGATAGATAGATAGATAGATAGATAGATAGATAGATAGATAGATAGATAGATAAAATAGACTATAGTTGTGACTTAGGTAAGTTTGAAAATAGAAGGGAGGTAGTAGCCAATTCTCTGCCATTGTGGCAACAAACACCAATGAGCATGAGCTCTGTTGTGGCTTGAATTAGAAATAGCTACCATAGGCTCATGTTTCCCAACTGATGGCACTGTTTCAGAAGATGTGGAAACTGTGGAAGGTAGGTCCTCACTGGAGAAAGTACGTCATTGTAGCTGTGGCATTGAAGGATATAGTGGGTCCCCAGTATTCTCCCCTTCTTTTTCTGCTTCCTGGCCTGCCTTGAAGTTAACCGCTCTGCTCTGTCATGTGCTCCCTGCCATGATGGGCTGATACCTCTAAAACCATAAGCCAAAGTAAATGTTTCCTCCTTTAAGTTGTTTCTGTCAGGTATTTTGATCAGAGCAACAATCAAAGAAACTAATTCACTCCAACATGGAGTGACCAGACAACTTATGCAGTGTCCTGGGTGTTAAGGAGCTACGGCAGTCACAAAAGCAATAACTCTTCCTGACAGCAAATATACTATGTCACTTGGTTCTAAATTTTCAGAGACAATTTCCTATTTTCTTTCCAGGCATCCACTGATTTTAAATAGTTTATTAAATTCTTCTCTTCTTGGCAATATAATGTTTTCTGTTTCTAGTGCACTGTAGTTTGACTGATACACTACTCTTAAGGAAGATTTGTAAGTTATTCAGAACAATTCTCTTCCATCACCTTGAAATGCTAATTTTACAATCTGAAAGTATAGCCACCAACAAAACCTCTGTCATTCATAACCCCTTGAGGAGATTATAAATCTTTACAGAAAATCCCTGGCTGACTTTATATTGCTGTAGCTAATATTTTTTGGATATATTCAAGAGAAAACAACGTTGATGAAGTTTAAAAAGTTCATTCTGCAATTTCTGAACTTAAGGAAAATCTAAGCCAGGCGCTAGTGGCTCATGCCTGTAATCCTACCTACTCAGAAGACAGAGATGAGGAGGATCATGTTCAAACCCTGAAGGGGCAAATAGTTTGCAAGACCCTATCTCAAAAATACCCGACACAAAAAAGGGCTGGTGGAGTGATTCAGATAATAGAGTGCCTTCCTAGCAAGGTCTTGAGTTCAACCAACTTATCTACAATCTATAACAAAGAGGGCCTTTCCTTCATGTTTGATACAGTTGGTAGTACTACTTATTAAGCCATTGCCTTTCTTTCTATCGTTCTTTCTTCTTTCTTTTTCCTTCTTTCCGCCCTTCCTTCCTTTCTTTCTTCTTTCTTTTATTTTAGCATGTCTACATTTACTTACATGTGTATACATTGTTTGGGCCCCCACTCCCTTAACCCCCACCCCTGGGCAGAACCTATTCTACCCTCTTGTTCTTCGATTTTGTTTAAGAGAAAACATATTAGATAATAAGAAAAACATAGCGTTTTTGCTA